CGTATCACTCACCTCTCCTCTAGCAAAGCGATCAGGGTCGAACCTCTCAGGTTCCGGGAAGTATTTAGGATCGTGATGCAACTCATACATAGGTATGAATATCTTCGTACCTTTCTCAACAGGTACATTGCCGACAGGCAGAACCGAGTCTTCCACACACTGCCGCGAGTTAAAGCCAATTGGAGTATGTAACCGAAGACCTTCATTTAATACACATTCGGTGTACTTCAGTTCCAGTACCGCATCATACGTCAGTTTACCTCCATATTTCTCGAAGATGGCATCTACCTCATCCTGTACCTTCTTTTGGATTTCTGGGTGTCTGCCCAATTCAAACACAGGTCCAAACATTCCAGCTGCTGTGGGATCAACGCCAGCTAAAAAGAAGAAGAACGCTTGAGCAGCCAGCACCTCGTCTGTAGGTTCCAATGTGTATCCAGTTTCGTTGTCTACCATTGGACCATTCTTTTGGATGTCCATGCACAAATCTATGAAGTCGTGTCTCACAGTACTATCTGATCTACGTTGTTTGAGTACCTCTTTAATAGCTCCAATAAAGAACTTCTCTTGATTTTTAAAGAATTTTAGTCTCAATGCTCTAAAGAGTGTATCACTGAGGTTATTTATTGCGAACCTGAAGTTGGACATCAATGTAGGAGTTAATGCTTCTTTTGCCATTACACGGAACGGAGAATCAAACGTGGATTTTGTCGTGATTCCAAATACAGCGGCCGCGAGAGCAGCGGTACAGAAATGACTTAAATGTTCGTATGTGTCACCTTTTAGTTTTTCTGGGTTTTGCTTCAAATGTTCTATGAAGTCCTGGGCGCTTTTGTCAATAATGTAGAACATGTTTTTCAGTTTCGCTGTTGTGAAAAGCGGTGTCATTTTCTGTCTGATTACTTTCCATTTCTGGCCGTGTAGAAACAAAACATTATTAGCCAGGTAATCATCCTCAGAAACTATGATTCCTCTATGACTGAAATTCTGAAAAGCGGTTTGTGTTATGAACTGAATATTAGTTGGATCCTTTACATACAGTCCGGGCGAGTCGAGCGAGCCCAATCCAACAACAGGTTCGTTTTTATATCTCCAATAAAGTTCGTTGAACACTTGGAACAATGGTCTTTCTCCAGTCATGAACTCCCACAGAGGGCCGACGGTTTTATTTCTTTGATAGAAAGCTACTCCTCTTTTCTTCCAGTAGTTTTCATTGTATTTGCCTCTGAGGTACGTGAGCGTTAGTACCACGATGGCTACGGCGAGTATGATTGTGGACAACATGTTTGGTTGTCTGAACTTGTCTAACCTCGTTAAATGTTCAGCTGTAACTGATGAACGCTCAACTCGAACGCTTCTTTTTATAATATGCTCGGTGTTTTCAGCCGATATGATAACGATATACCATGTTGCCACATTATATGTTCAAGTGCAAGTCGGGAATTGAAAATTGGGACATTTTTACTTGTACAGGTACATAAATATTTATATGTCGTGAAATCTATATATCGTTTTCGTCCCGAAGTAAAATGGTTTTGGCAATACAGAAGTTTTATAAAAAAAAAAATTTAAGCGGAATATAATTCGTGTTCCATTGAAAAAATCAATTTTTGAAGAGCATACGAACTCTTAGAAATTTTTAAAACATCACACCATGTAATTTCGAAAGAAATATTTTTCGTCAGGTGGCACGTGTGATGCGAAGCACCTACAAATTTACGTCTAGCCTTTCATGTGCGTATTTATATGAAAATTTATTTTAAACTTTAAAAAATTGAAATAAATCTTTCAAAATTTCACGCTGGCGGTTAGGCGAAAGCTCATTTGTAATAAATTAGTAACATAATTATAATTATGATCAATTAATTATTTAATTTTAATAATTATAGTAAATAGACAACATAATGTTAGTGCGATAGGATTTATCTTCGTGACGACTTTACATGGCGTTAGAATCACATTTGGACTTTGAAGTACCTCATGGTAGCCACAGACGTAGCAAGTTACTTGTATAAATACACAAATTGAAAGCTATTTCGTTCTCGTCCCGCGGCAAAACAACTATAAAGTAAAAACAAAAAAATATACCATCGGGCCATCAGGACGCCGCGGCCTGGGCACAACCCGTGTGGATTTGGACGAATCTGAGGTCAGGGTGGAACACACTCTAGCGGGGGCATTCCGCTAGAGTGTGCTTGGGCTGAGCACTGCCGTGCCTTCAAGGACGTGATCGCCCATGGAGACATCTCACGTCCGGCCCTATTACGGGTCATGATGCGGAGCGAGGGGGATTGGGAAGCCGTCTCCTCCTTTTGTGAAGCAGTCATGCTAGCTAAGGAGGAGGCGGGACGCGTGAGGCAGCGAAACGCTACCTCCTCGCAACCCAGCCATCGCGAAGGACACTCCGGGTGTCGGGGATCGCGGGACGACTCCGGCCACCGTAAGCGCGGGCCTGCGAGCAGGAGTAGGAACAGGATGGTTTTTAGTCAGTAAGAGTATGTCACTCCCTCCCGCCTCACCCAGGCGGGAGAAGTCATTCGATGATTTCCCCCCTTAAAAAAAACCCGTGTGGATTGCGTACATACATCCATTGATACATACATACATTACTTTGTAAAAACGAATATCCGTATAATATTAAGTCATTCGATTCATACACAAATATATATTTCGGTGACTCATTTTTATTTATTAATAGAATTATGTTTTCCGTTCACTCATGGGTGTAGTAGTATATTTATCTGAAGATGTCGCCAATATTGCACAACTGAGCGTAAAATAAATGAAAACAAAGATATTGAAATTCCGAATCTATTTTTACCGATTGTATTTGCAATTGTAAAGCGATTGATTATATCAGTGTATTATCGCCTTACATCATAATATTTTTCGCTTCATATTGATAGTGATTTGATAATTCTGTACCATGTTGTGACTGTGTGGTCTGCCAGTCAGTATTATCTATGACTATCATGTTTTTAGTAAAGACGTACCAAAGAATATTAAATAAACACGTGTTACTTATATTGCGATTGCAAAATAAAATTAATGCAATTGCAATTTATTGTTAATGTTCTTATATTGTTCATCAAAAGCTGCCTCGTTGGCGGAGTTGTCGCAAGTGCGACTGCCGGGCAAGGGGCCTCGGTTTCGATTCCCGGGTCGGGCAAAGTATTACTGGGTTTTTAAAAAATTCTCAATAGTAGCACGGAGTCTGGAATTGTGCCCGGTATATGGCAATAGGCTCACCCCCTATTACATGGGACTCATAACATAAATAGTGAAAAGTGACAGTGGTATAATGTGCACCTCTGCCTACCCCTTCGGGGATAAAAGGCGTGATGTTATGTTGTTCATCAAAACTAGTGACACATTGTTGTTATTTTTTTAGTTTTCGTTACTTCTAAGTGAAATGAATAAACATAAATAATGTACGAAGTACACGTAAATTGTAAACTCAAAAATAAAAAAACATTTAATATTTATTAACAAATAATCATTAATAATGGAATTTTTAATAAATTTTATTCACAAGTAAACTAAACTTCTTAGGTACCTAACTATACGTTTTTTCCTGTTTTTGGTGTTCACCATTTATGCAACATTTGAGCCCACATTGTGCAATAGTTGTATACTCTAAACGTTTTAAAAAAAAAACTAAACATACCAAAACTTTACAGATAATATAAAATCTTAATTGCTGATAAAAAACCGAAATTCAAAAAAACTCATATCTTCTATCTATTATTATGTAATCGAGTGACAAATTGGCAGACGGATCGGTTACTCAACACTGATCAACACCGAAGGAGTTACAAATATGTTGCCGGCCTTTTTGAGGGGTTAGGAATTTGAGGATTGGGGAAATCCTGTAGTCGTTATACCATAATAATCATTAATATGTCTTAAATTAATATTATGCAATTCTGAATTTCCTTTTGAGGATTCAGATGTTGATTAGAAAATACGTAATATATTTTTAGACAACTACTAACAGTTAGATAAATATTAGGTTCACAATTTGTATACAACGCCATCTACCTTTGTTAATATAAACTAAAAAAGTCATACCAAATTCGTAACCAAAAAAATACACATTTGATCTTTTCCTTTTAATTTACAGTTTGCTGTTTTTTTATGATTTTGGTAAATGGTAATGTGCATAATAACATAATCACAATCATTTATTTTGGTATTACATAACATCATGCCTTTTTATCCCTGAAGGGGTAGGCAGAGGTGCACATTAAGGCACTTAATGCCACTGTACAATGTAACACCCACTTTTCACTATTTATGTTATGAGTCCCATGTAATACGGGGTGAGCCTATTGCCATATACCGGGCACAATTCCAGACACCGTGCTACTACTAAGAATTTTTAAAAACCCAGTAATACTTTGCCCGACCCGGGAATCGAACCCGAGACCCCTTGCCCGCAGTCGCACTTGCGACCACTCGGCCAATGAGGCGGTCACTGTACTGCATAATCTTATACAATATTATAGCCCATTGTACACATTACATGAAGTAATATAACTGATGAAAAGTGGATATGATATTTAATTAGATATTAAAAATTGTTCTTTATTTTAATATTTCGTAGACTGCACTTAGCCTTTGGATTTGAAAAAGCATTACTGAAAATTTCGATTTCAAAATTCTCATAAGTAGGATAGAGTTAAAAGAATATGGACTTAATATACATACCTATTTCGTCCAATTTCTCAGAAATTAATAAGCAAGGTGTTATGCTAAGCATGCATAAATAAATACACATGTAAACTTTAATTTATTTGTAGAAATTTTCACTATATGTTAAAAAAATATTCTAAGAATACACAAAATTATCTACGGATAACTGTAGATACTATAATAAATTAATATATAAAAACAGTACTGTCGAAACTAAATTACGAACTAACTACTATACTTCTACGCGTACAAGTAAAAATAACCTCTGCTGGAAACACAATAGCAATTACACTCGCTTGCACCAATCACAATTTTCTAGGCACCAACTCAACATCACAATTTCTCAAACGCACTTGAAATTGCTCTTTATTGTACTTAACACCTCCTTTTCTCACAAATGTACGTACTGTATAATGCCTTAGAAGATGGATCAACCCAGTCATGATCTGAATATTAGCATATCTCGCTCCAATACAATATCGACCACCCTTACCAAATGGTATATAAGTCGCATCATTTATCTCTCCTTCCCTCGCGAAGCGGTCAGGATCAAATTTCTTAGGCTCCGGGAAATAATTAGGGTCATGATGCAAGTCAAATATAGGCATAAATATCTTTACACCTTTCTCAACAGGAATATTGCCTACAGGCAGAACACTATCCTGCACGCACTGTCGCATTACAAAAGCAATCGGAGGATGCACTCTAAAGACTTCACTCAATACATTTTTCAAATAATTCACTTCCCCAACTGCATCGTACGTTAGTTGACCATTATATTTCTCGAATACTCTATCCACATCCTCGTGTGCCTTCTTCAAGATATCGGGATTTCTTCCCAATTCCATTAAAGTACCGAATATTCCAGCGATTGTAGGGTCAGTACCTGCCAAGAAGAAAAAGTAAGCCTGAGCAGCCATCAGCTCATCTGTCGGCTCCAGCGCATACCCAGTATCTGCGTCCACCATTGTCCCATTCTTCTGGAGCTCTACACATATATCTATGAAGTCGTGTCTCTTCACGTTTTCTTTTTCTCGTTGCCTAATCACTTGTTTGATCGCTGCGATGAAAAATTTCTCTTTTTCTGTTTTGAATAACTTGAGTTTTAAAAATTTGAAGAGTGATTCACTTACTCCACTTATCGCAAACTTCAAATTTGTGAAAAAAGTAGGAGTCAAAACCTCTCTAGCCATCATACGGAATGGAGAATCAAAAGTTGAGCGTGTATGGATTCCAAATACAGCAGCAGCAATGGCAGCATTGCAGTAATTTCCCAAAGTATCAAACAGATCTTCTTTCAACTTTTCTGGATTATCTCTTAAATACTCTATAAAATCCTGAGCACTTTTGTCGATGATGTAAAACATGTTTTTAAGTTTGGCAGTTGTAAAAATTGGTGTCACTTTCTGCCTGACTAGCTTCCATTTCTGACCGTTGAGCATTAACACATTGTGTGCCAAGACATCGTCTTCGGTAAATGCAATAGCTCTATGATTAAATGAATGGAAATCAACTTGTGTGATGTGTTGTATGTTGGTCGGATCCTTCACGAATAGTCCTAGGTCATGGAATGAACCTAGACCGACAGCTGGTTCTTTTTCATAGTTCCAATAGATATCGTTCAGGATTTGGAAGAATGATCGATCTTCGATTGCGAACTGCCATAGAGGTCCTCCTGTCTTGTGCTTGTCATAGAAGGCTACACCACGTTTCTTCCAATAATGCTGATTATATATTCCCTTTAGGTATATTAATGCAAGTATTACACCAACAACGCCTAGTAACACTGACAACATTTTAGAAGATATCTGTCTTCAAGTTCAAATGGCAACTGGCAGAGAGCACGGTATAAATGGCTTATAAAGCCATGTGCGTCAACTGTTCATGTGTTCAACTCACACTACACGATGAACGATAATTAAGTTTAGCTGAAGAACAAATGTTTGCGTTTTATCGGTTATTATTCATATTTTTAACTGTTAATTATTTTAACCCCTGACTTTGATGCAGAATATTTGTGATATTAACATCTACATTGAACCGCAACCGGATTTTGTATCTAATAAAAAATATGATTAAGACTAGTTAATGCTTCATTAAAAAGTTTACAGCAGAATCGGTACAGTAAAATCAATATTATCGCTATGCTACATTTTAAAAATCTAAACAATAGTTTCTTGGATAAAAATTATTATGATGATACACTACAGTAGCACTGTAGTTCAGCCGACAAGTATCTGATCTGCAGGATCGTGACATGAACACATTGAGGTTGTAGTCAATGAATCAATCCAGGATTTTCTTATCTATACACACCACTACCACTGCCAAAATACGTACCGTAGATGGTATATGAAGTCGCGAGAAAAAGCTTGCTATGTCTGTTTTATCTTGATATCGTGTTGTCACGTGGATTCGACTCACGTGTGTGGATCTGTAATACAGTATTCAAAACATAGTGATAACGATTATATTATGATCTGCAGACGCAGTTTTTAACTTTTCCGGTTCAGTTTCTTAAATTTTCCATTTACATACTGACTGATTTGAAAACTTGGCTATATGATGTGTATAGCCATCTGTGGCTAACTATATTAGAGCTTATAATTGTGCCTGTAGTATGAAAAAGGCTCACCCTTATATAAATGAAATAGAATGAATTATATTACATAATGGGTGAAAAGTGTGTAAAAGAATGTATTGTACAGTTGTGCAGCTGGCTCTGTCTACTTCTTGAGGGACTAAAAACTAGTCACGTCATATGCACTTTTTTCCTAATTTTTTTACTGGCTCTAAGCTCTATTTTTGTATAAGTATACTCCTAGGAGTTCCAAGAATCACGCAAGTAACACGTGATTCAATGTAACTATTATGTTTTTACCTGATGGACCATACATATTTTACCTTAAGTTATCTAGCGTCCATTAAAAACGCTGTCACAAAAAACATATAAATTATTATTTTAATCATTACTGTTTTGAAGTTTTTGAACAACAACCTTCAAAATAATGTAGGTACTTACTCCTTTTTAAAATCAAGTAACTATGAAAAATCATACAAGTCATGTCAGTCGAGGTATAGAGTTCAATTACTAAGTTCTTATGGTCATCTTCCAGCTCCATGAAATCCTGATAACCATCTAAAAACAAATTGCTCATCAAGAGGAATCAAACAAGGTTACTCAACCTTATCATTCATTGATGATATAAAACCGAAATTAAAAATATGTGAGACATAACACTTTCATTCACTCATGTCTTCTATCTATTTTTAGTAGTGATAAGTAAATTAGCTGACGGACCGATTGCTCAACACTAATCAACACCGGACGAGTTACAAATGCGTTGCCGGTCTTTTTGAGGGGTTTGGAATTTGAGGATTGGGGGAATCCTGTACTCGTTATATCATAATAATCATTAATATGTCTTTAATTAACATTATGCAATTCTGTATTTCCTTTCATGGATTTTCTTATAGTAAGCATCAGATATTGATCAGAAAATACAAGGTATATTTTGTTTACAAGTAATAACGATTAGATAAATATAAAGTACAGTATTTGAATACAGCGCCATCTACCTTCGTTAATATAAACTAAATACCTTCTATTATATCTTCATAAGTAAAAAAACATTTTTCTTTTAATAGTATAACTAATATTATTTCATGCTTTATTGGTTGATTGACTATAACATAACAAGCGACTCGGGTTCGATTTCCCGGTCGGTTAAGATATTATGGAGCGTTTTTTTTTTTTAATTACCAATGCACATAATGTTGTCCACTAGGTTACATGAGTGTAGTATTTTTTTAAATTGAATGCTGACGTTTGACCACTGTCTCGGCTGGCGGTAAGCGATGATGCGGTCTACGATGGAGCACGTCGACCTATAAGCAACGTGTTCACTCGGGCCTTGAAGGCACCCGGGTTGTACCCTTCAGGACATATAGACTCTAACAAAGAAAACACTCCTTAACAGTACATACAAGGAAGATTGATGCGAAGCGCTTCGTGCGTGTGGGTGGGTTATCTACTATGAATATGTGACGCATCGCCTATTTTCTTGTGATACGTCTTGTATTGTATTCGTATTATGTATACATATTGTTTTATAACTGGTGGAAAGTGGATATGACATTTGATGATCAAAAATTGTTCTTTATTTTAATATTTCATAGACTAGTCTTAGGCTTTGGATTTGACAAACCATTACTGAACATTTCGATTTCAAAATTGTCATAAATAGAGTGGAGTTGAAAAAAATGGACTTAATATACTATCCAATTTCTCAGAAATTAATAAACAAGGTGGTATGATGAGCATGCATAAATAAATACACATGTAAACTTTAATTTATGCGTAAAGATGTTCTCTACATATTAAAAAAATATTCTAAGAATACATAAAATTATCTACTGATAACTGCAGATCCTATAACAAATTAATGTATGAAAATAGAAACAGAACTATCGTAACTAAATTACATACATTCTACGCGAACGAGTGACAATAACTATGCTGGAAACACAATAGCAATTACACTCGCTTGCACCAATCACAATTTTCTAGGCACCAACTCAACATCACAATTTCTCAAACGCACTTGAAATTGCTCCTTATTGTACTTAACGCCTCCTTTTCTCACAAATGTACGTACTGTATAATGCCTTAGAATATGGATCAACCCAGTCATGACCTGAATCTTAGCATATCTCGCTCCGATACAATATCGACCACCCTTACCAAACGGTATATAAGTCGCATCATTTATCTCTCCTTCCCTCGCGAAGCGGTCAGGATCAAATTTCTCAGGCTCCGGGAAATAATTAGGGTCATGATGCAAGTCAAATACAGGTAGAAATATCTTTATACCTTTCTCAACAGGAATATTGCCTACTGGCAGAACACTATCCTGCACGCACTGTCGCATTACAAAAGCAATCGGAGGATGCACTCTAAAGACCTCACTCAATACATTTTTCAAATATTTCACTTCCCCAACTGCATCGTACGTTAGTTGACCATTATATTTCTCGAATACTCTATCCACATCCTCGTGTGCCTTCTTCAAGATATCGGGATTTCTTCCCAATTCCATTAAAGTACCGAATATTCCAGCGATTGTAGGGTCAGTACCTGCCAAGAAGAAAAAGTAAGCCTGAGCAGCCATCAGCTCATCTGTCGGCTCCAGCGCATACCCAGTATCTGCGTCCACCATTGTCCCATTCTTCTGGAGCTCTACACATATATCTATGAAGTCGTGGCTCTTCACGTTTTCTTTTTCTCGTTGCCTAATTACTCGTTTGATCGCTGCGATGAAAAATTTCTCTTTTTCTGTTTTGAATAACTTGAGTTTTAAAAATTTGAAGAGTGATTCACTTACTCCACTTATCGCAAACTTCAAATTTGTGAAAAAAGTAGGAGTCAGAACCTCTTTAGCCATCATACGGAATGGAGAATCGAAAGTTGAGCGTGTATGGATTCCAAATACAGCAGCAGCAATGGCAGCATTGCAGTAATTTCCCAAAGTATCAAACAGATCTTCTTTCAACTTTTCTGGATTATCTCTTAAATACTCTATAAAATCCTGAGCACTTTTGTCGATGATGTAAAACATGTTTTTAAGTTTGGCAGTTGTAAAAATTGGTGTCACTTTCTGCCTGACTAGCTTCCATTTCTGACCGTTGAGCATTAGCACATTGTGTGCCAAGACATCATCCTCGGTAAATGCAAAACCTCTACTACTGAAGGAATGGAAATCAACTTGTGCGATGTGTTGTATGTTGGTTGGATCCTTCACGAATAGTCCCAGGTCATGGAATGAGCCCAGACCGACAGCTGGTTCTTTCTCATAGTTCCAATAGATATCGTTCAGAATTTGGAAGAATGATCTATCTTCGATTGCGAACTGCCATAGAGGTCCTCCTGTCTTGTGCTTGTCATAGAAGGCTACGCCACGTTTCTTCCAATAATAATGATTATATATTCCCTTTAGATATATTAACGCAAATAATACACCAACAACGCCTAGTAACACTGACAACATTTTAGAAGTTGTCTCTCTTACAGTTCAAATGGCAACTGGCAGAGAGCACGGTAAGAACGATGCTTATAAAGCATCAACTGTTCATGTGTTGAACTCTACATGTTGAATGATAATTAAGTTCAACTGAAGACCAAATGTTAGCGTAACGTAGTGCTTTATTAGTCATTATTCATATTTTTAAATCTAAATCATTTTAACCTCAGACTTTGATGCAGAATATTTATTACGAAAAAGGTTCACCCCTTATATAAAGACCTTATATTACATGATTAGTAAAGTGTGCGTGAAACAATGTAAACAGTTGTGCATCTGTGTCTGCCTACTACTTGAGGGATTAAAAAGTAGTGACGTCATATGCGCATTTTTATTTTTTTATATTGGCTCTATGCTCCATTTATTGGTTTTTTTTTTTTTTTTTTTTTTTAAGGGGGGAAAATCATCGAATGACTGCTCCCGCCTGGGTGAGGCGGAAGGGAGTGTCAGACTCTTACTGACTAAAAACCACCCCGTTCCTTCTCCTGCACGTCGAGCCGGAGCCCCGGTTACCCGTTAGGTTCTCCGCGACTCCGAATCGGCATCGGCCCTATTGGGCCCCATCTGTGGTGGTCTGATGGCTCTTTGAGGCGCGCGCGGAACGCGACGCGCCGTACGCTCGGGTCTGTTTCTGGTCGGACGGGGAGCCACCCATGCTCGCCGTCCGCAGGCCCGCGCTTACGGTGGCCGGAGATCGTCTCGCGATCCCCGACGCC